TGTGATCATGGCACATCTAGTTGGAGGCCTGTAACTAGCTGTGTTCCCCAGGGGTTGATACTGGGTCCAGTCTTTTTCAACACCTTCATCAATGACCTGGGCAATGGATAGTATGCACCCTCAGCAAGTTTACTGTTGATAAAAATCTGGAAGGAGTGGCTGACATGCTAGGAGGATGTGCTGCCACTCAACGAGCAGGCTGGAGAGCTGGGTAGTGATGAACCTGATGCTATTCAATGAGAGTAAGTGTAGAGCCTTGCACGTGGGAAGGAATAACACTATCAGTAAGTTTAGGAGCTGACCTAGTAGTGGAGTAGTATCTGGGTGTCCTGGTGGACAACGAGGTGGCCATGAGCCAGCAGTGTGTCCTTGTAAATGAGAAGGTGAGGGGTCTGGAGCACAAGTCTTTTAAGGAGTGGCTGAGGGAGCTGGGATTGTTTAGTCTGGAGAAAAGGAGGCTCAGGGGAGATGTCATTCTCCAAAAGAGTGGTCAGGCACTGGAATGGGCTGCCCAGGGAGATGGTGGACTCACCAACCCTGGAGGTGTTCAAGGAACGTTTGGATGTTGTTTTGAGGGACATGGTTTAGTGAGAATTATTGGTGATAGCTGGATGGTTAGACTGGATGATCTTGTAGGTCTTTTCCAACCTTGGTTATTCTGTGATTCACTGCACTCTACAGTTTCCCGAAGGAAGGTTATGATGAGGAGGGGTTTGGCCTCTTTACCCAGGTGGCAAACTGGACCCAAGGAAATGGCTGCAAATTGTACCAGAGGAGGTTTAGGTTAGACATAAGGAAAAAACTTTTTCTCTCAGAGGGTGGGTCAGCTGCTGGAATGGCCTGTCCAGGGTGGTGGTGGAGTTGCTGTCTCTGGCAGTGTTCAAGAGGCATCTGGATGAGGAGCTACAAGATATGGTTTAGTTGCTGTGGTAGCAATGGTAATGGGTGGACGGTTGGACTAGATGATTTTGTAGGTCCTTTCCAACCTTGTGATTCTATGATTCTGTAAGGTCAGTGGTATCCTGGGGAGTGTTAAAAGCAATGTGGCCAGCAGGGTGAGTGAAGTGATCCTCCCCCTCTACTCTGCTGAGATGAAGCCACATTTATAGAATTGTGTCCAGTTCTGGGCTTCTCAGTTCAAGAAAGACAGAGAACTTTCTTAGAGTCCGGCAGAGGTCTACAGAGATGGTGAGGGGCCTGGAGCATCACCTGTACGAGGAGAAGCTGAGAGACTTGGAGTTTTTCAGTTTGGAGAAGACAAGACAGAGAGGATCTTCTCAATACGTATACATATCTAATGAGAGCCAAATGCGTGTGGCCAGGCTTTTCTCAGTGTTCAGCGGCAGAACAAAGGGCAACAGGCACAGACTTGAACATAGGAACTTCCATACAAACATGAGGAAAAACTTGTTCATTTGAGGGTGACGGCACTGGAACAGGCTGCTCAGAGAGACTGTGGAGTCTCTTTCTCTGGAGATATTCTAAATCTTTCTGAATGTTTTCCTGTGTAACCTGCTTAAGGGAGCTTACTTTAGCAGGGGGACAGGCTGGATGAACTCCAGAGGTCCAGCTCCTAAGATTCTGTGATTGTTTTTTTTTTTTTCTTCCCCTTGACAAAAGAAAACCCACAAAGTCCTGAACTTTGAATTGGTTGCTTGAATAAAAATGAATTCTAGATTGTAATTTTTATTTACTTATCTTTAAATTATTAAATCAGATTAAGATAATCTTGGAGCATTGAAGGGTGAATTTAGAATTCATAAAAATATTTACTAGTGACACAGACTAGATGTACCATAATGACTGTTCCTTTGAATCTCTATCGTCATCTTGAATGACTTTGCTGTACCTAAAGATGTTTCATGGATGAAATTCACTAAACAATTGCAATGTGTTGTCTGACAATGGTGATCTTCCTCTTAATGTTCATTAAGCTTTCTGTAGCATCTTCTGTTAAGAGCCAGCAGAGATTTGCAGCTCAGAAATAATGCATACTAACATGACATAAAGCCCAAGTTACTTCGTAACTCATAATCACAGCAAATATTGGTTGGCCAGTCTTTTTAAAAATACTATAAAAAACAAAACAAAACAACTTTTCAGCTGTTGTGATGCTCATAGTCATTAATTCATATCAGATCAAACAATTTAATGGCAAAAAATTTGTCATCCATTGAACGAATTTTAATGTGGACTTCAGTTCATACGTATTTAATATGCCATTTCAGTGTACCTGTTTAGGCACAAGTATTCTCAGGATAATGTTTTGAATGAGAATATTCAAATTCAGGTTCATTGGTGGCTTATTTCAAGATCGTGGTAAAAAACAGACAACATTTTCAGCAGGGAAGAATAACATAGGAATAGGAGTTCTTGCCCAAATGTTCTGCTGGAAAAAAATATTTTTCCAGGTGCATCGTTTCTTTCGCACATTATATATTCTTTATATATTTATTTATTCCTGTAATCAACTTTCCTGCATCTCAGGATATCTTTCTTAGAGATATCAAGTTACTGAAGCTATTTATTAGAAATAATGAGAGTAACTTTCTGTTACTGCTCTGAGGGGTAAGATCACACTTGGATGCACTCGTGTTTGACAGTAAGTCTGAATATATGGATCCTTATTCATTGAAAGTCCTCTCTTTTCTGTTAGGGGAGAAAAAAATTGTTTTCTTAAATTTCTTGAAGGGATCATCCATCTTAAGATGGCTAACATTGCCTTCCTTGCATCCATTCCTTAACATCCATTTAGTTCTTCATGTCTCTACAATGGGCTTCTGCACCTGGCACGCTTGTCTGGGCTAGTTATAACACTTTTCCCAAGAGGGATTTTCTTTCATCTGCATCCCACTTCAGACTTTCTGCTGGTATTGGCATCTGTCAGAGATCTAAGAGAGGATTAGTTCTCTGTACTTCCTCAGATAAGGATATTTAATGGAGCAACAGTGTTTTATTTGCTTATGGTTGAAAAGTAGTAAAGTTGTAGTAAAGCTTTATATAATTCCACCTCTGGGATGAATTATCAGTGTTTTAGAGTTCATTACCAAATGGGCAATTGCAACAGACAAATAGACTTTGGCTACTAGAAGCCTTTTAAGCCCTCATATGGCTTGGTGGGAGTTTATCTCTGTTAGAATATTCTCTTGTCTAATATCTTTCCTTTCTCTCATTAACAATCCACTGTCGTTTGAGTAACTGCCCCTACATAAGTCCTATTCAGATATGCAACCTGCTTTAAGGGGGAGTTCTCAAGACGCATCACTCATCATGCAGCTAGGGATGCCTTATTTCTTGCTATAGTTTTTCCTTAATTTTTGGATACAGAATGTGTGTGTTTCTAGATTACAATGTAGGATTTTCTACAGTCTTTGTTTACTGAGTTGGAAATCTGGTATTGTCACATAAATACTCCTGGGGCTTGCAAACGCAAAATGTGCTTTTGTTCAAACAGAGCACTGATAGACACTTGTATCGTGAACACTGAAAACTAGAAGTGATTGCATCTTAAAGGCTGTTCCATTCTACCTTTGATGAACACTTTACTGCCGTGTGGAATTTATAGCTTTGAACTGTTGCTGAAACACACTTGGAAAACCTCTTGATGTTTGTGGTGTTAATAGATTCTGCCCTGGAGTTCAGTTGCTCTGCAATTTGAAATTTGACCCTGCACATGGCACAAGTCATTTAGGAGTTTTGTACCACTAAATGTCAAAGTTTTGCACGTTCTTCACAGTTCTTATATGGTTTCCTTATAGAAAGTATTCAAATCAGACTGTGCTGCTGAATGACTTCTAGAGTAGTATGTGATTTTGTACATCTGGTGTTCTGCTTAATTGTCATCAGACTTCAGTTTTCAACACAGTAATTGCTGAGCTGTCTTTGGTGGTGCTTTGAAAAATAAGTTGTCTTCAAATCTATTAATGTTTCTGAAATGTGCTCTTTTCTGAAAATGCACTTCCTGTCAGAAGGCTTCAGAGGCACGGAGTAAGTTGAGTTTATCAAGCTACTATCATTACAGACAAACTGTTACAGGGAAAAAAACCTTACAAATCTTTTGACTACCCTCTTTATCTCTGTGGAAATTGAGAAGCCTATTTATTTTATGTTTAGGAAATTAAGCTAATAGATACATGTTACTTTTTCATGTCCTCCTAATAGAAGACATTAAAATGTCCCCTACAGAGCTGACCAAGTAAAGCTAGTAATCAGGCCTACTTTTATGTTCTTTAAGGCTTTTAACGCCTCACTTTACTTTCACTGTCTGGTCACTGTGCAATGAACACCAAAAAGAAAAGAAAGCAAGAAAAAAGATGGTTTCTGTGAGACTCAGTGACAGCATGCTTTGTCCTTGAAGCATCATCTTCTGCATTGGAAGATCTTACCACGCTAAGACAACAGCCAGGCCAGAGCTGGCTTCCTTATTCCTTCTTGAAAGTCACTTTTGTTGTCTTTGTAGGCACCAAGTAATTGTGGACATTCTGTATCTTGCAGAAGTAGGTATGTCTGTGTGGTCCAAGTATTTGGCAGAAGAATGATACAACTCCTTATGGTACCTCTTCCAACTCCCTTCACTCCCTGTAGGATCTCTTCATCTTTTCCTTGCCCCTTGTATTTTGTGGTAATTTACACATTAACATGGATTCCTGCTGATAAACAGGCTTTTGGTGTTTCTCTGACTTGTTACATTAAGGTCACTGGAATTCCTGCAGCTTGCCTTTCAGCCCATGAGATTAGGCTGCAGCAAGAGACATTAAGCTTTCTTGTGTAGCCCACTTAAGCATGGAACCTGCTGGCAGATAGGTGCGTGTCCCCTGACTGGCCTGCAGTGTTGCTGTCTCCTGCTGTGATGCTGGATCCAGCTGGCATGGCAGAACAGCAACGTGACAGGAGACAGGAATGGGAAGGAGTCAAATGCTGGGTAGTGAAGTTCTGCTAAATCCAGAGAGCTTAGCTGATTTCAGGGTAATTCTCTATTGCTTGACTTTGCAGGCGCCGTAATGAAGTAGAAGGCAGCTTGGGAAAACCACGGGTTGTAACAGTGTGGTGCCTTATAAAGGAAGAAGCAGTACCAAGGTCACTCATCAGAGTAATATCTTCAAAAATGAGCTATACCATGAAAGGACTGCTAGTAAGTGCAGTTGAAAGGTAGTACTGTAGCATTACAAACCAAAACTCTCAGTCTCAGAGGAGGAGGGGAGCATGCCTCTTTTTGGAAGTGTCCTAATCTGGAAGACCCATTCTACCTTTATTTATGCAATGCAAGAATAATTCTCCAGCTAAATATTGTCATAAAGAATATATTGCAGTGAAATACTGTAATTTAATTTGAGTATCTGCGCTTGCAAGTGTACTTGCATATTTTCATAATTGTAATATCTTCATAATTATCCATTGTGCACATTGAAGACTTTATGAAACGCTAATGTGTTTATAGACTTGTGTTTTCAAAAAAAAAAAAATTCCGTGTCAGATTTATAATGCAAGACCACAATATTTTGAGAGTAGTACTCAACTTCTAAATTATAAATCATTTTTTTTGATGGAAGAAGTGACTAAGTATAAAATATGAATCTTGCATGTTACAGTACTTAGCCATGCAATCATTATTGGAAATTCTCTTTCAGATCTTTACATTTATATTCATTTGGTTTCCTCAAAATGGACATGGCTAATATATTATTAAAGGTTTAAAAATTGGAATCTATGTAGTAAATGTTGATGTGTTTTATGGTTCAACAGAAACTGATGTAGCAATGAACTCTGTGGTATTTGCTAGCCCACAGGTAAGATGTTCTTACTGCTTTGATTTGCATATGAGATCACTGATATGATTTATTGGGTATAGCTGCATAATTTTCAGCGGGAGAGCAGGCGATAGAACTTCTTGAAGGGAAACAATGTAGTGCTAATAATCTTTCTAGAATCAAATTTACATCTATACATAGGGGAGGCAGTTAACAACATGGGTTAGGTGACAAGTGTCGAGATGTCTTAGCACTCCTCAGGTTTTCCTCATAAGCAGAAGTGACACAGATCTTGAGGAACGCAGCTCAACAGATGTAAAACTGCATCTTGTTCTTACTTTGTTGTTGGCCTTATGGGGTTGAGCTTGACAGATCGATTGCATTTGTCAAGCATCCTTTGTAATTTATTTGGGCAAGTGTATGGAAAGAAAGGAACACATTGATATTGGAAATAAATCTGAATGGCTCTTGTATATCTCCTATATATCCAGACCATGTGAGGGGGGGCAGAGTTATACTCCTAAAAATGATGCTTCAGTACATGAATATGTATAATTGCAAATTCCAGATATCTTTAAGTACTTCCAGAATGACAGCTTTACATAACTCCAACATTACGGAGCAATATATGAATTCATATTAAATTCATATTAAGATCAATTCAGCAGACCTTCTTGTGCTTCAAAATGTTCCACTTTGCCTACTACTTCTTGGTAGCAGTTCTGAACTAACTTGATAGCTAAGGTGGTTAGAAATGCATACCAAAGGTCTCCAGAGTAGGAGGATAATGTTTGAAGCTTTTTTTGTGTGATCACAGTGCAAACTTTCCCAAAGCAAGTTTTGCAAAAGCCTGAGATAAACCTTAAAAGTTTCTGATCTGATTTCCTTACATCAAATTAGAAACCATCCTTATTAAATGTGATCCCTAATCAAGATTTTTTCCAACCCTTAAATCACTGTAGAGTATACTGAATATTTTACAACAGCAAAGAGAAAAATCAATACCAGCACGCTTAGGTAACATTGTTTTTGCTGTAGACAACAGGGATATGAACATATCATCTCTCCTATTCTCTGCAGTTCCTGTCTTATTTGTACATTTCAAAAAACTAAATGGAGGAAATTATAAGAAAGACAGAAATGCATAACCCTATTTCATCTGAAACACTTCAAGTGCACAAATTTCTGGAGCAACTTAACCTTCAAATTTGAGTGAACGGATCCTTGGATAATTGAGTGGGTTGTAAGACTGGTTTTCTTCTGTTTGTTCTGTTTTGCTATGTTTCTGCTGTAAGGTACAATGACCAAGCACACTTAATAGATATCCACATTACTTGAGATGCAATCGACTTCACAGCTATTCATACAGTTTGCTATCATAACTTAAATAAACATGGCCATGTCTTCAAAATATCATAATCATATTGTCCAAATTTTTAATGTCATCATCCTCATAGATTTTCAGTCATTGAGTATGTATTCAGGTTTTTGCAAACACCATTTCTTCAGATAGTGTAAACTGGTATGTGCCTAGCTCTAAGCCCTGCTAGCAGAGCTTTTCCCTGCTCCCCACACATAAAAGGAGATGCTTTTTTATCTGTAGATTCTACAAGGCACTTCTTTGTCAAATCTGTACTCAGTGGGGGAGGAATAGATACGTAGCCTGTTTTTCACCAGATGTTAATCTCAGGTCACTAGGATCTATCACCTGTGACCTGAGGCTCCCAAAAAAGTTATTACAGATAAAAGGGAAGAGACTTGCTTAAATAAAAGAGGCTTTTCACTTCAGCAGTAGTAAATGGACATGATAAAAACTGGAATCTTTCATATGCTGAAATGAAGATACAGAATGTGTATTTCCCCTCAAAGTTGCTGCACAAGTAGCACTTCTGTAATGAACTTTTGTGGTCAGTATTAATAACTTAAGGAAATTTTTCTCTATTTGAATTCTGGAGGAGACAGAGTCTACATAAGGACTTGCCTTCTTCAGAACTGATGGCAGAGCATTTGTATTGAAAAGCCATCATTAGAACTTAGTTTTTCAACAGCGACTAATCACCTAATAAGAAAAAACAATCTTCATAGTGAAAATATACCAAAAAAAATGTATTTTAGTGTATTTTTGTATCCTGATTTATTGAGTGAGAGGTTCCACTAGCAGTCGTATGAAAACATTTTCAGCATCATTTATTATTGTACATAATCTAATTTACTATCTAAATGTGTTTAGAATGCAAGTGTGCTGTGCTTACTGTGAGACCTGGAAAAAATCAGCAATGCAACCATATCTGAAATTAGAACCTGTATGAAAAGTATGTCTTAATGTTTCTTCAGTTTAAAACCAGTTTTAGATTTTTCTGAATTTGAGAAGTCATTAAGATAATATAGAGATAGTAAAAAAAAAAAACAAAAAACTATGTATTCCAATAAAAGTAATTATTTCACTGCTTTGAGAGATACGTAGAGGCATTCATAAGCTACAGGTCTTTTTTCCCCTCTATGTGGCACAAAACTATTACATTATTTTTATACAGAGATGCGTGTGGCTGCTGGTAAAACCTGTTATAGAAGATCAATGTGTCCTTAATTGTTGTGTTTAATTGTGAACTTCATTCCCTTGTTGGTGTTTCTGGGTTGTGAAATGAGTCGACCAATGGGAATAAACTGAACTGCAAGGTTTCAGGATGACCAATTCCTTGATAAGAACGTGCTCTAGTATGAAAAGCTTCTAAAATGTAGGGTTGTGCTTTGCTGGATCATCAAATTAAGACAAGATCATTCTATAAATAGCAGAGGCTGAGTAAAATGGAGCTGTGCTGCTGCCTCAGAGTGCCCACTGGAACTCACTGAAGGAGAAGTCTTCTCCCAGGCTGAGTTTGCTCGGACCCACACTGTAGAGACCAGGGCAAAGCAAATGGGCAGCTCTTCTTTCTGTTGCTGGGCTGCCTTTCAAAAGCAGAATTATGTTGTACTCTGCGATTTTAGATTTTATTTTGTCCCACTGAGAACTGTTTCAGACTCACTTTTTGCATATGGATTTGGGGACTGATATCTGGGTCTGTTGATGATTTACCCAATAATTAGATATATTTATAAATAAGCCTGTACCTCCTGGCTCAGCTAACTTTGTCTGTTTTATGGTCTTTCTTAAGATAGTATTGAAAAATACCTGGGGAAATAAATCATTATAGAATCTAATTTCTTGCATTCAGCACTAAATCAGATCTAAATTTATTTTACATGACAGAAGCAGAGTGAATACTGCAATGTCCTTGGAATCCAATTGGTTTTAATTGGATTCTATATGTTTTAATGCTACTGTGGAACATGAACTTAAATACCTGGGATTAAATTTATATGACAGGCTACCATTCTCACTCAAGTGGTGCATCATTTTAATTTATTTATTTTGCTTCAACATTTCATGACAAATAATAAAACATCAGGTTCTTAGTTGTGAAGGTTGTTGTTATTTTATTTTATTTTTTTTTCTGGAGGGCCCTTCCATTTCAAAATCTTCTGGCTGATGCACAGCTATGTATAATAACATTCATTTAGACAGAGGGGCCAACAGTTCTCAAGCTCAGCAAGAATTCAAGTGAGATACAATTTAAGATAAGGAAAGCTTCATTTAGGTAATAAGAAATAACCCATGATAAATGAGACTTATAATGCATTATCCTTCTTAACCTTCCACCGGGCCCATAATTATGCAGAATATTTAATGTACTCTAATAATCTGATCTTAACTTGATAGCCTTTCCACTTTATATACAGAGAGTAAAACACTACAGCCCTGTAGATTAGAAAATAAAGACACTGATTATTTAACTGTAATAAATAAACAGCGCTATGAAGATGAAAGCATGATGTGCAGAGTATGAAAATAAATTAAAATGTTAGGAAACAGGTGTGAAGAGACTTTGAAAAGAGGCTCATATTTTTTCATTGTGGCATTATTGTGGTTTCGTGTCCCAATCAAAGTCATTTCTACTGGCAAAGAGAAGGTAGATAAAAGTAAATCATTTCTAGGTTAATGAGCATATTATTAAAAATTTAAAAAATTAAACATGAGCACATTTGGAAAAATAGAATGGTTATAAATTAAATTTTAAAAGCTCATTAGCTGGGGAATAGGAGATCCGGTTCCTTGTCAATAGGCAGCAAGCCTATTGTAACTTCCAGTGCACCTTGCACACTTGCTCACACCCTGTGCACAGCACGTTACCTGCTGGCAGCCAGCCTGTGCCCACTGTGTGTGTGTGTGTGTGCAATAAAACCTAGCCAGGCTCTGCGGTGTGGAGGCCCAGGCCTTTCCTCACAAAGCCCTGCAGCTTGCTGCACAACAGCACCCAAACTGTGCTAAAACAGGTAGCAGTTCTGACTGCAGTGTCAGGTAGGCATTGGTGCTTAGTTGCAGAAAAGGGTTTTGCTTCGCATGTGACATCAGTGTTATTTATTCAGATATAGATATTAGCTTGTAGTTGCAACAGAGTCGCACTTACAAGCAACTCTGAGTATGTATGTGCAAAAAGGAGAGTCTTTTATCACGTTAGATGTTATCCCAGATGCAAAACTTATATGACAGTATTGCATGGTAGCTTTTTGAGATACAAAGCAAATTGATGCTAGTTTGGTTTTGATAAATAGCTATATTTTAATCTAGGGCAATCATTTATGAACCTTCTGTGTATGGGTATGCCTGTTCCCTCCTTGCTCTGCCCTTCCTGTTACCTGAGGAGGTCAGAGTAGTGCTCAGCTGTGCTCCTCTCAGTGCAGCGTTGCAGGAGCCTAGCCCTGTGCAACCAGGCTGTGCCATCTCACTTAAGTTAAGCCCTTGCTGTCCTTTTTTTCAGTCCGTAGCGATTACTCAAGAACAAATCCCAAGTGTTAGTGACTGAAACTTAAAACTGGGAGGGAAGGCAGGGAATTCAGCTATGTGCAACCCTCAAAGTGCTCCGAGTCCTAGGCATGTGTAACAGCTGTTCTGTGACCCTGCCTACTGCAGATAGCAGCACGTTGCCTTGTGAGGAGTAGTCTGCTTCTTTTCCTCACGTGGGGAGTAGCAATTCCTCACAAACCTTCAAATCAGTATGACTCCGTGATATCAAGGACTGTTCTATCAGTGGACCTTTGACGTGGGTTGGTAACTGATTTCTTTTCAACAGCTATTAGAAATTTTTGACAGATCTTTTCTGTAAGGCTGCCAGAAATTAAGGACTAACAGTTTCTATTATTAGTCCCTACGAGCTGTGTTTGTGTTTGGTCTCAGTGCTCCAAATTATTAAATCGTACAGTAAGCTCCTTGCTCTGCCTTTCAATCTGATAAGATATGAATTTTGAGACAGTTAACGAGTTTGTTCAGACTCGATTTGACTTCACATACAAAACTATAACCACCGTAGGGCATATAATGCTTGTCTGTAGCAAACTTCATCTCTCAATAAAATGTAGCATAGCTGTACAGTACTATACCTTAAGGGCTGAGCACGTTTTCTGAGCATGAGTAACAGACCAGATTTTACAATACACCTTGATTTTTTTATTTGGCAGTTTTGTACAGAGAAATCATAAGGTGAACATGTAATAAATGTATTCTGCATGTTGTGCTTAATTTCTTACCTTACAGCTTGTTCTGTTCTCAAGTCTGAATCCTTTGGAAGAAGGAGACAGGGTAACAGCCTATATTAATGAGTAATTAATTGCAATCTCTGACGTTCACCAGATGAAAACAGTTAATGCTGACATGCTTATATTAGCCTCAGTAGTGTTAGTTTGGACAAGATTTAGTCTGGTCCCTGTTATTATTTGTTTCTAGCATGTGTTTTTTAAACTGTGCAAAAGACAGCTTATCACTTTGAGGCCTTACACCTTCCTTAGGGACTCAGGCACATCAGTGCATCCTTGTGTAGCATTTCCTCCTCATTTTCATGACAATGAATTTACATATGGCAAACCACTCTGCAAACTTAGCTAATGTATAGCAAGTGCTGATGGCCAAATGTGCAGAACTTCTGTGCAGCTCCCAAACAAATGTTATGTTCTGTGCTTGAGTTTGGCTACCTAGGTATTTATCCTCTTACACAGGATCTCAACCTCTGTGACAGAGAGCCTGCTTGAAGGAGCAGCACAAAACAGGACTATGTTGTGGGAACTAAAGTGATTCTCAGATGTTTTGGTGGAGTTGCTTGCTGTTTGTGCCTGTCTGTGTAACTTAATTCCTAGAGAAATTTGTGGGAGTGCTGCAACTGTGGAAGAAGGGAAGGGAGTTCTCTGAGTTAGGAAGTTTTTCCTGTGTGGCCAGGCAGCTGCAGCGCTATTCAGAAAGTTCATACTGCGGAGCTCTGGGTTTCATCTCTTTGTCAGAGCTTGTAATGAGATGCTCAAAAGGAAGCTTGCTGACAGTCTTTAATGATGTCTGCGTTGAACATTTCAAATAAACCAAAATCAGAGATTTTGTTCCTTTTCCCCTTTAGACCAGTTTTCCCCTTTAGACCAGACAACATAGCTAGAATTGCGGGCAAAGTTCTCATTATACAATTTTCTTTTTTCTGTAAAGGCTTCTCAGCCCTGGGTGCGTGCACATAATATGTGAGTTTTGCTGGAGAGCAAAAGGTGCTTAAATGTTTGGGACAAGAAAGATCTGCTTAGAATGAGCAGCGGATGGAAAAAACCGATCGCAAAATTACCCCAGCTCTCTTTGATGCCTGATCTCTTCATTCCTTTTGTCTCCTGTTTTTTTTCTCTTAGATTTAGACTGTTATTACAACTTTGTTAGGTATTAGAATCTTAATATGTATTGGTTACATTGAAAGCAGTGGCATTAGGCTTGCTGGAAGCTCTTTGTTTTCATCCGGAATCTGAATTATAGCAGAGTATTGCAAGTCTTCTTTAATGAAATTCCCGTGTTGTCTCCTGCTATTATTGAATAGACTAGTTCACACTGAAACAATTATTTTGGTAAGTTGTCTCACACTGCCTAAGGATAAGGTTTGATCATTCATGCGGCTGAAGGGATTGATCATAGTCCTTGTGAACAATTCCTCAATCTGTGCTTGTTTATTGCATTTCTTGTCTTTCTGCTAACCACTCACAGCCTGATCAACTTGGTAAAGATCTGCTATATCCGACAAAGATGAATGCAGTATTTTATATGGTTCTTTCCTGGTATCAAAATAAACTGTCAGCTGTAGCAGTACCTGTTTAACCACGTCAGCTGAAATGCATTTAGGGCATTTCAAACTCACTTCTAAAAAATATATATATACACGCACACAAATATAGTGGTTATTTTCTTTCTCTTAAATTTTTTTCAAGCATTTGAACATAGGAAGTAATATTTCACATTAATACCAAAAGCATTATATAGTTAGGAAAATATTG